GGGGGGGGGGCACGCGGCCTGTCCGACCAGCTGCTCAGCCAATGCTCACCTATCAATTTTTTCGAGTGCTAATCCTCAATAGTGAGCTGGAGCCTATCCTAGCTGACTTTGAGCAAGAGGCAGGGTGCGCCCTGGACTGGTCACCAGCCAATCGCTGCGCACATATAGACATTAAGAGTTATCAAGTAATCTAACACGTGTGGGTTTGATCCCACAACTAAAAATCCAGTTGGCTTCAGTGGCCAAGGCACTGACACGAGATCTGTATTTAGTCCTGCGTGCATCACTCTTACTGCCCTCCAATGCTCATAGGATGGTTAAATGCAGGGGAAATAATATCACTGTGCAGTGTACAATTGACAAAATAAATACTTAGCCAGGAAGTTTTCCTTCCTTGCTCTCGAGGACTGGAAAACGGCCATGTGGTCGGGTGAGTCCTGAAATAACATGAACATGACGCCAAGGTTCTGTTAAGATCTCGTCTTAAAAGTATTGATCAAGTCAAAGTGAGTAGCATCTGAGGGTCAAAATTCTTTCTGGTTGACATTTTCATATATTGCACGATGATATCACTGCGTCTTGTTCTGTCACTCGTGGATAATGAATGGAACGTATGTCCTCCTGCTTAGCTCGGCACTGTACAACAACAACAACCTCTTTCACAAATGGCAGCCATGTCACAAAGGAAACCTGGAACTCGCACAAGAAGATGATGTTGGAACCTCTGGCTGTCAATGACGCTGAGGTCAGTGTTTACATCAATTTCTGTGTGGACCATGTGAGATAAGTTGATGTGTCACAACTGTTTTTCAGATGTTCTCCATCATTAAAAAGGAAAAGCACAGGCAAATGTACGGCCTGGAGCTCATTGCGTCAGAGAACTTTACCAGCAGAGCAGTTCTCGAGGCTCTGGGCTCTTGTATGAACAACAAATACTCGAAATATCCTGGTCAGAAGTAAGAGAATAAACACATTTGTGAAACGATTCATGAAAGTGTACAGTAGGATTACGTCCAAGAAGGAGAGCAGTGCGCTTGGGTTTGTCTTTCGATGAAAAATGAGTTTCATGTCCACAATGGTCACAATTTAGGTACTATGGCGTAACTGAGAATGTTGATGAGCTGCAGAAACTCTGCCAGAGGAGGGCGCTAGAGGCCTACAGCCTGGACTCGGACAAATGGGGCGTGAACGTGCAGCCATATTCAGGTAACGTTCAATTCAAACACGTGATTTGACGTTTCAGATAAAGTGGCCATCACGTTTGCTGCTCAATTCTGAGGTTCGGGGTTTCAACTGCGTTTACTTGTTGTAGGTGTGCTTGCACGACTTTTTTCCAGGTACTCAGTCATCCTCCCCACCATTACAAAACCTGCTGAATTATAAGACACTAAATTATCCATTTCCAGTTAGCGCACATGTGACCAGATGTTCCTAATTTCTTTGTGGTCTGCAAATTTCCCCATTTTGGGACTAATAAGTTCATCAATGATAACCTTTATTTTATGTGGATTAGCAGTACAGGAAATGGATGGCTGGATCTCAAATGGATTACGAAGAAACGTCAATACTTCTCTGTGTAGGTTCTCCTGCCAACTTTGCTGTTTTCACCGCCATTGTGGAACCGCATGGTAGAATCATGGGCCTGGACCTTCCTGATGGAGGTCACCTGACACACGGCTTCATGATCGAAAAGAAAAAAATCTCTGCAACGTCCATCTTCTTTGAATCCATGCCGTACAAGGTGATCACACACACACACACACACACACACACACACACACACACACACACACACACACACATACATTTGTTTTCACTCACCTCGGTCATGAGTTCAATGAATAAGATTTCAAGTAGGCCCTATTCTGATTTACTATTATTAAAAAAAAAAATCTTACCCCAGGAAAACTTGATGCGAAGAGAAGTTTTTAGACAACAGTTTGGTGATTTTGCTTTCATACATTACCATTGACAGCAACCTCGCAGCCGTACGTCAGCTCTTGCTGTTGTTGGTGAGTCGTTGGTCAGACTGTGTGTTCTGGTTTCAGGTGAATCCCGAAACTGGCTACATCGACTACGATCGACTGCAAGAAAATGCTCGCCTTTTCCATCCCAAACTCATCATTGCAGGTCCTCTATCACGTGCATTGCCAATGCATTGTCAATTTAGTAAATTGAAATCTAGCCACAGGATATTTTTGTGCAGTGGAATGACAGTTTTATTTTCTTGTATTTTAACTGAGGTTCTTTTCAGGGAGCCTTGTCCACACAAATGAACATTCAGACCGATTTCCTTTCTTTCCCAGGAACGAGCTGCTACTCCCGTAACATCGACTACGCCCGCATGAGGCAGATCGCGAACGAGAATGGCGCATATCTGATGGGAGACATGGCGCACATCAGTGGACTAGTGGCAGCTGGAGTCGTGCCTTCACCCTTTGACTACTGTGACATTGTTTCCACGACGACGCACAAGACCTTGCGCGGCTGCAGAGGTGGACTGATTTTCTTCAGGAAAGGTCAAATGTCATTGGTCATCCATTTTTTTTAAGGGGGGGTTATCAAGCATTCCGTTTCATTCTCATCTGTTCTTCTTCAGGTGTGCGCAGTGTGGACGCCAAAGGGAAGGAGACGATCTACAATCTCGAGTCTTTAATCAATCAGGCTGTCTTTCCGGGGTTGCAGGGCGGACCACACAACCACGCCATTGCAGGTCCTCCACATTTCAAGACACTTGTACTCTTATTTGACATCAGTTGCTGTTCAATCTGTGCGTCGTTCGTTCTTTTCATTTCACATTGACAATCAAAACTTGATGAAAGTGACTCCTTTGGATTTTAATCAAACAAAAAAATGGCAGATGTCATCTTTCTATTTTAACCTCCAATCAAAAATACAAAATAGGAACATCGGGCCACAGAAGGGAATTATTTTATTGGTTGGGTTTAGATGGCCCGAAAGTTTGGTTTTTGTGTGGCCAATTTTGATTGCCAATTACAAATGGAAAGAATGAATGACGCATGGAATTTGCTCAATTCCGCTCATTTCATTGCAGCATTTCAAGGTCTTTCTGCTCGTTACGTCCCCAGGTGTTGCCGTAGCACTCAAACAAGCCATGACACCAGAGTTCAAGGCTTACCAGAAGCAGGTTCTTGTCAACTGCAAAGCTCTCTCCACCGCCCTCATTGAGCATGGCTACAAGATTGTCACTGGTAGTTTTTTTTTTTTTTTTAAATTAACATATCCTGTTTGGCTGCTTGGGCATGTAGAATGGGGCAACAGCCCACAACGAGTGAGCCAGTGACTTGCGGCAGCTTGAAAAGTAGCTGGGTGGGGTCATCTGACAGGGGTTCTCGGCAAACAAGAGCGCAATGGGGGAAAGGGAGCTGGGGGGTGAGGCGTGAGTGCATGTGTCAGTCTTAAGTTCTTAATGCCTGTAAGTGTTGTTCGTATGCGAAGAAGCCTTTTGATGTCACGATTATATTTGCATTTCAAGGTGGTTCTGACAATCATCTGATACTGTTGGACCTGCGCAGCAAAGGAACTGATGGAGGACGGGCTGAGAAGGTTCTGGAAGCCTGTGCTATTGCCTGTAATAAGAACACCTGTCCAGGTAAGATTTGTTGAGTAGTTAGTTGTTGATGCTGCACCTCTCTCTTTTCGTACTGTACTGAAAATGTGCAAATGTTCATATCAACATAAATGTATGTGTATGTGTCAATATATATGGGTAAATACAGTATGCTGTATATTTGATCTTCTCATGCAGGGGACAAAAGTGCTTTGCGCCCCAGTGGGCTGAGATTTGGCTCCCCAGCGCTGACCTCCAGAGGCTTGCTGGAAGATGACTTCAGGAAGGTGGCAGACTTCCTCCACAGAGGTTAGGAATCTGCAGCTCCATCACTGAAGCCGCTAGGATCGTATATTGATACACATTAACGACAATTTTGACTTTTCCTTTCTGTCCCCTTCAGGCATTGAGCTGACCTTGGAGGTGCAGAGAAGTCTGGATCCCAAGGCCACTCTGAAGGAGTTCATCCAGGCCTTGGCCAAGGAAGAAAAGTTCCAACAGCGTGTGAATGAGCTCAGAGCAGAGGTTGAAGCGTTCGCTGGTCATTTTGCCATGCCTGGCCACCCCGAGCTGTAAATCACGATGGCTCAACTGATGGTTGTTGTTGGACTGTTAATTATGGAAACTATTGCACACAATTTTGGAGGTGTAAATTTGGGTGTGTATATTTGATCTGGTTAAAAAAAAATTTGAGGGCCTCTGTCCTACATATTTTAGCTGCGTCCTTGTCAGGGTTTTGCCCGGCCAAAGTTAAACAAAAGACTCGCCACACAGGGAAGATTGTCTTTGCAGTCGGCGGGAGCACGATTTCCCAGAGCGAACGACGGCAGTTGCTCCGCAATCACACTCAAAGTTCCTCATACTCCTCGTCCGGACTTTTATTGTTTACATATGCAAAATACAGGAAAAAACACTTTGACCTCATCAGAAAACTGTGAAGAAGCCTGAAAATGGTCCTTTCAAACATGTCAGACAGCGGCACTTCAGGACCGAGTTTGGACACTCCTTGGTTCAAACCTTGTTTGCCAACAAAATAAGTGTGCCTGAGGTGCATTTACCTGGTGCTATTGATCAGTCCAAAAAGTAGCCTGTGTGTGACTTGGCCTTCTCTGTGCCATTGTCAAATGTGTCATTAATTACAATTCCAGGAATTACAATTTCATGTTAGCACAAAATGTGTAATTATTTTGATATTCTGTTATTTCATGGTCCACTGCTTCATGACCTGTGTCAGCATTTGTGCTCGCAAGGTTGAGTCTTTTCTTTATTTTTTGTTTCAAAAAAAGTGATGTGCATGTGACTGACGTTTAGTTTTTCTTACAGTCATAATATATGAAAGTACTGTAAAAGTAAGAAAATACACAAATAAATAAATTCTCCCAAATTAACAAATGTATTTATTAATTCATTTTTTTAAATAATTGATGTCGAGACTAGTACGTATCCGTACTTGACGTCAATCAATAGACGGGTTTTTAATTCCTGCCGCTCTGAGCTCCTCTCAAATCCGGTAGGTGGCGGTAATGGTCTTAAGACACTGTTTGTCAAAACTAAAAGAGGGAAAAGTTACTCGAAGGAAATGGAAGTGACGTTTTGGGTCAAAGGTCATTCTGCGCGCTTCTCGTGCTCCGCCGGGCATCCTTTCGCGACAAAAACAAACTTAAACTAGTCTTAAGTTTAGGCTTTCCGTTCCGCAAAATTCAACACCGTTTTACGGTTTCCTTAGTGAACCTACCTGGTGTATTGAGCCGAGGGGCTAGCCTGGCTAGCTTTTGGTTGGCGGCTGGGGGACCAGAAAAACATGACCGGCTAATTAGCTAACCGAGGTGTTTTGTTTCATAGCGGGACTCGACAAAAACGTCGCCTTCAACCATGCAGGATTTACTGGCTAGCGCGGATCACATCAAGTTCGACCTGGAGATTGCCGTGGAGCAACAGCTTGGGGCTCAGCCTCTGCCCTTTCCCGGCATGGACAGTAAGTACTCGCATGCTAACTGCTAGCTGGATGACGGCAGAACCGCTTTCCCGACTACTCAAGACGGATGCTTGTGTTTTCCCTCAATGCTTTGACCTTAATATGTACACCCCACCTTGCCCCCTTAGAATCCGGGTCTGCTGTGTGTGAGTTTTTCATGAGAGCTGCGTGCCTGAAAGGTAAAAACAAAGCATCCTGCTTCATGCAATCATCATTGAACACGATCCTCTGTTTTGTTTCTTCACACGGACAGAATAGGCTATCTGCCCGTGTAATACTGTATTTGTTATATTTTATTTCCATTGCATTACTAGGTGGGATGTGTCCTTTCCGTCACATCAGCGGAGAGAAGACAGTTGTGTGCAAGCACTGGCTCAGAGGACTTTGCAAGAAAGGAGACCAGTGCGAGTTTCTCCACGAATACGACATGACAAAGATGCCTGAATGCTATTTCTACTCCAAGTTTGGTGTGTACGCTGGACCTGAATATTGTTGCACATACCAACCCCATGATTTAAATTTTTAATGTATACACTGTGTGTCACCTTTCTTAGGCGAGTGTAGCAACAAGGAATGTCCATTCCTGCACATCGATCCCGAGTCCAAGATCAAGGACTGTCCCTGGTATGATCGAGGCTTCTGCAAACACGGTAGGTCTTTAAGGGAACCGCCGACCAAGTGATGAAAGCGAACACTCAACTCAACTGTATTTATAGAGCACTTTCAAACAGCCATGCTGCATACCTCATTTGAACAATTCAGTCATTAAAACTCACCTTTACATATCACTAAAAAAGATATAGAACATGTTTTTAAAGGAAGTGTCATTGCAGCGACATCATACCGATCGATAGCGACTACATGTTGTTGCAATTAAGTCAAAAGTTTGTTTTATGCTTAGATTCTCCTGTGAATTTACCTGTTTCAGGTCCCGACTGCAGGCACAGACACACAAGAAGAGTGATTTGTGTCAATTACCTCGTGGGTTTCTGTCCAGAAGGAAAATCTTGCAAATTTATGCAGTATGTATTCAATATTCAAATGTTTCAGTTATATGTCAAACAAATTAAGTTTTGGACCACTATATTAAGCCTGAATTATTATTTTTGGGTTGTTGTTGTTAGCCCTCGTTTTGAATTGCCAATGGGAGCCCCCGAGCAGCCTCCCCTGCCGCTACAAAACCAAAATCAGACAAAGGTGAGACACCTGCTCTAACACCGACACAACGTGACAACGATGGTCATCACGAATATGCTGACCACAGATCCTTTCTCTTTGCTTTGATTGCTGTAGACGGGGTCCATGGGCCGCTCGTCGTTCTCGGTCATCCACTTGACCAACACCAGCCCCGGCCCGCGGTCGCACAACAACTCTTCCATGCCTGTGACTCAACAGAATCATCTCATTTCCAACAGAGGGCCTCGACCGCTGGACCAGGTCACCTGCTACAAGGTGATTCAGATTTTGTGCCGAGGTCTTATAAAACCAAATCAACTCTTTTGAGCATCTTGCAAATGTTTTGAGTCCAAATTGAGGTGGGGTTAATGTTTTTCGTGGAAAAACAAATTCCAACTGTCACCACCCCCCCCTCTGTGTGTGCAGTGCGGAGAAAAGGGCCACTACGCCAACAAGTGTAATAAGGGCCATCTTGCCTTCTTGAGTGGGCAGTGACCTTCAAGCTGGTGTTATGAGACCACAGGGAAGATGGACATTTTATGGGTGGATCGCTCAAATGAAACGCCTAGAACAACCTGTGATATTTTTTCTTTTCCCTTCTGGTCAGTCGAATCCTACACAGGCACAAAGAGATTTACATTGCTTCAATTTGTATTCTTGCCTTTTATACAGTGTGGAGAAAAAAAAATCAAGATGTTTGTGCCGTACTTGAGTGGAGTTCTTGCAGACAAAGGAACACCTTAAAAATAGTGTCTGATTTCCAGTTGCTCTATTGGTAGTGCTTATATTAGCCTTTGTGTACTAAAGACTTGCAGTTACGGTCTATTTCACTAAGGTCAAACCCCCAAAATCATTCCCTTCCAGTCGACAACAGCTACACCGATCATTACTGGTTTCATCCACTCAAAAGGATGCCCGTGTAAACATGGTGTGTGGACAAATTCTCAGTGTGTAACTGTAAATAAATGTTCCATCCTAATTTGTGTTGCATCAAAACAAAAGCTACGGTAACTCTTAATATTGTTTATTGGTCACATATGGAACACAAGCTGAGAAAGCACAGAGTAGGAGGAGCTGAATGGTCCATCCCTGAAGATCTTATGGTGCTTGTTAGTGGTACTTCCTCCAGCGATCATGTTCTATAAAGGAAGACAGAAAACATTGGAGACCATTTTTTTACCATCCCGGGAGAAGATGAGTCACACTTAAAGCAATTCAATCAGGGTTTTCATACAACGGAGCTTTGTCAAATTGGACTGACTCAGAGCACCAAGAAAGAAAATTGAGAATTATTTTTGTACACTGTATCCACTTACTGTGACATTGAAGTTTAGCAATGTGCGTACACGTTTGTGTTTCATTACCACCATAGGAACAAAAGTTAATTGCAAATTATTGTATCGACAGGCAGGCACAACATTTGTTGAGTTATGTCTATTAAATGTGCGTATTTTGTGTTGAACAGCATTAATCCGTTTTTGCAAGTAGAGAGCTCAATTGCGAAAGGTAAAGTGGAAGGGAGTGTCATACTTATGTGGTCGTATTCCCACAGGTAACTCATAGCCATGTAGCCAACGAGCAGCATCGCGACGCCACCAATGCCTCCCTTCTTCACGTTAATGTACTTGTTGTAGTATCTGTCGTGGCCTGGAGTAGGTGGGGTGGGTGTGGTGGTGGTGAAAGAACACATTAATATTGAAAAATGAAAACGGAGCAGAGGTTTGTACTGTATTGCAAGCGGGTGTCCTCACCCCTGCGGACGGCAGAGATGATCCCATTGGGGGTAAAGTCTCGTGCTCCGAGCCAGCTTCCCAACTCGCCCAGTTTCACGTCCATCAGACGCTTCTCAGCTATGGGAACTATTAAGAGGAGATAATTGGAAAATCGGTTCAAAATCAATCTTACTCCTGGACTGTGGTGTACAGGCGTTTCAGTGTATCGAAGCAGCATGAGCATTGGCTGCATTCACACACTGGAAAAATAATCAGGATCACATAAAACAGGGCTCACAATTACAAATGTGAAGAAAACATTACATTAAATAGCGATGTCTTCAGAAAACACCATAAAGAGCTTTCTAATAACTCCAACAGCAAATACGATACAAATACTAATTAGTTCAGGACGATTTTTTTGTATCCACAATGGTCGAAATACGTTTTCAAATGGAAAGTTGACGTTCGACATAAGCCAGCCACTCCCACCTCAAAAAAAGACTTTATAAAAAATGTAAATATACTGTTACGGTACCTCTTAAGTATTTATTAGCAATCGGAATTTTCGGGAGGACTATCAACTTAATTTGAGTTAGCCAAAACAGCAAAACAAGCACTGGCAAGGCATTGGAAATACACAAATTGAATAACGGATTGCTGCTGCTTTAATTAATCAATCCGCTACACATATTTTTGAACATAATTAGCAATGACACGCAAAGTCCTTGACGTGACTCGAAGGATTCAATGCGGCCTTTGGGCTAACAAACACATGCAAAAAGATTCGTTCACCGTCAGTTAATTGAAAAAAGCAGTTAAATATGCACAAATGTCGGACTGTTTCCTTAATAAAGCCCACAAAACGGACAGAATTGTGAAATTTGCGCATAAAACCACGCTCGGTACCTAGTCTGTCCGCCATCTTGACCGGTGGAGTTCGGCTGCTTGAGCTGCAGAGAATGATGGGAGCCGACCGCGGTGCATTATGGGTGCAAATGTAGTTTGATTAGTTTTCCACTAGAGGGCAGTAACATGGATAAAATCAAGCCAGTCTTTTTTGAACGTCGGAGCAAAACAAGAAACAAACCTCAATAAATTACTTATATATTTAAAATAAATAAATCCAGTTACCTCGATTCTACCTCTGAGGATCAACATGAGCTTTCTGACTGAGAATCTACACAGACGTAAAGAAAAAACCCCATCAGATTTCAAATGTCCCCATTATTACCAAATCTTTTGACCCTGGGTATCATTTCGCAATGTATTTCAAACATCCATCAATCAATGCTCGATAGCACAAACATACGAGTGGGCTGGAGCTTATCCCAGCTAACTTGAGGCAACAGTCAGGGTACACTCTGAACCGGTCATGAGCCAATCACAGGGAGTTTTATAAAAACAACTGTACTTGGAGTCAAGTCTCCAGTGAGTCAAAGGGGATTGATGTGAAAGTGATTCAATCAAAGAACAACAACCCTGCCCGCAGCACTGTTGTACATACTGTACTGTACCTGAGGATAGAGTGATCTAATTCTGGCTCGTTTGTGCGTGGAGGTGTCCGGGCTCAAGGGATGGATGTAATATGGAGTGTAGATCAATACACACAGACAGACACACACTCACACACTGTGCACAGTCGTGGTTTTGGCTTTCATCCAAGACTCTTCCTTTTATTGGAGTGATTTGAGGTTTCTCTGGAATGACTTTAATTAGAAGAAAAACTTATAAATGTCCCGCACTCAGCGGCTTGTAAGTAAATGTGCTTAAAAGCTTGACAATTTCACGACACATACTGACCCAAAATTCTTCTCTTTTTGTGTCCTTTGAGCTTTTCATTGTAAACTAACTCACAACTAAAGTCTTCCAGTCTGAAAAAGTCAATAATCAAGCGCACCAAATTGCACGCATGATGGAAACGCATTAAAGCAAAAGACACGCTCTTGATTTTGACAGTTGATGTTAGCGGCCACATGAATTAAATTTCCACAATAAATCTAGAAGAAGAAATCACGCTGTTGCCCAGTTTGACTTGCTTGTTGAACGCTTTTGTGTTTGGCTTGTTTGTTGCTGCACCGCCTTGGGCCTTAGTACACTTCACAGCAGTCTGTACTGGCTACACACACGCACACACACACACACACGCACACACACACGTAGGGAACCAGTGTGAGATGGATGATTTGATTCCACTTGAAGAGGCAGGTGCCCTGGAGGTCTGCCACAGAGACAGCTCTTTGAAGCCGATGGAGAGAGATGGAGGTGGAGGAAGAGAATGAGGCCGGAGAAACGCTCGGTCAGAAAAGAGGAAATTGAAGAGAGGACATTCGGGTGCGGAGTAGAAAGGGATGGGAAACGATGGCGGGGAATACAAGGAGAAATGGCGCTTAGAACCCAAAGGAGGGTAGAAGATGGAAGGATAAAGAAGACGAGGGGGGCTTTCTAATACATTGCCACTTCCTGTTCAGCCGTCTATCATGCACTCCATCTTTTTTTCCCCGTGTGTCCTTTGCATTTGTCAGTTTCTCCTGTGTGGCCAAACAACATGGGACACATCAGCTGGACAGCGATCTTGTTTCGACAACAATCTCATTCAAGCTGCGGGAGCTGCTTTAAGGAGTTCACTGGCCCTAAAGAAATACACTAGTGACAAGAAAGGTATGGAGCGAGGAAAAGAAGCAGGCCTCTCGGTTGCACACGGTTTTTCAACACCATCATTTTCAACACTTTTTTTTTTTTTTTTTTTTTTTTTTTTACTGATCACCATCCAGACATGAAACTCACAAATATAATACCAAAACCCAATGGACCCACAGATATTATTTTCAAAGTACGTGAACACACAAAATCCTGTGCAAAGTAAAACATTTGGCACGCTTGGCCCGTAATGCGTATCCCCCATCTTTTCAAGGCTTCATCTGCATCACCTCACAAATAAATGCTCTTCTTCCTCCTCCTTTCCCCCCCCTCCATCTGGCTCCCTCCCTTGATCTCTCTATCCGTACATCTGCACCTGTTCTCTTGGCTTTCATCTCTCGTTTTCACCCGGTTGACTTGTTGCTGCCCCGCTGTCTCGAGCTCTCTCTTCATCTTTCCTTTCTTCACTTCCCAATGTGTGAGTTGGGGTAGTCGGTCGGGTCACAGGTCGAAGAGCGTTATTTGCCTCAATATTCATTTTAATATTGTCGATAGATAGCTAGATAGCCAACATGAATACATATGGGGTGAACTGGATGTATTAAGTACAAATCCAGTGATGTAACTGCAGGGTCTTTTATAATTATTCTCCTTTGGATACATATTCCAGCACAAACTGCAGGCATGAGTTGAGTCTCCAACAATTAACATATTTAAAAGGATTGATGGAAAGTGACACAGGCTGCTGTGCCAGCATTGTGGTAAGTGGGTCTCGCCAATGCACCATTGATTTTCTTAAAAAATAAACGAATACAAAACGTAAGCAATGTTGATGTGAAGGTTTGGAGTTTTTTTTTTCTTTTATGAATTACTTTGAAGAACTGCAGGGACGAAGCGGCGAGCCTCCCTCCCTCTCTCTCTCTCTCTCTCTCTCTCTCTCTCTCTCTCTCTCTCTCTGTGCTTCTCCCATCCTCTTCCTCCTCCTCAGCCGCTGGATGCTGCGTCAGAAGGCGCGAGGCTCCGTCTGGATGGAGACCGACTGAGGAGCCACCGGTGCCGGGGAGAAGGGGCGGTCAGACAGAGGGGCGGCCTCGGCACGGAGGTAACCTGTTGTTGTTGTTGCCGTTTTTAAAATTTCTTAAAGCGCAACTTGACTGAAGGGAGAATATTTGGGAGGGAGCGCAGCTGGGCGGACTCAATGAGAAAATAAACAGCAATCGTCTTTTGCGGTAGTCGGTTTAGCTTTAGCATTCGCTTTTCTTTCTAAAACGGCGCTAGGATGCATGCGCGTTGTGTTTTCATGAACGTGTGCACTGTTCAAGATGCGCACCATTGGGCCCATACGATAAAAACACACTTGCATGTGCTAATTGGAATTAAAAAAAAAAGAAAAAACACCACAGAAGCCGCAAGAGCTTTGATTGCGCTTCAACTCATGTCGCAGGCTTGCCTTTTAATTTCAACTAAGAAGCTCGCGAGCGCCTGCACGAGGTCGTCATTGGAACGGCTTCCAGCTGCAAATAAACAGGCGCTTTTTCGCCAATCGCCGCCTCTCAGGGGAATAAACCTAACATGACCTCTTATTCCAGTGCTGGGTTCTGTCAAGATAGCTCTGTTTTCATTGTATGACATATCGCAGTTACATTTATACATCAGATAAGTATTCTTATAACTGCATGTTTCATCTGGTGGTTGTTGTTTGGTTGTCATCTTTGTAAAGGCACCAATTTTTTTATGTTTTGAAAATGTTGTTCAGTTCAGGTTACTTCGAGGCTTTAAATAGTGACACAGCGCAAACTTTTTGGATCCTGCAGCCTCACACGAGCGTTTGCGTGTATATGACGTAGAGGAGCACGTGTCCCACCCATCGAGACTGCACATCTGCCTTGTAATATATTTACGTCAACAGCCTTCAGCTAATGAGAGCCACTGAAAGATGGAGCCCAGCTACCCTACTGACATAGCGCTTGCATGCTGTGTGTGGGTGACGGGTGTGTTGTGCGAAAACTGAATAACCTGTATGATGCATATACACTGTCAGCGGCTCAGAGTCATGCATCTTTTGTCATCCGCTCTTTTTCAGTAAATAGGCTACACACACACACACACACACACACACACACACACACACACACGCACACAAAGCTCCCACATCTTGTATCACCTTGGCTTGTCTGTCACCGTATACTTTTATTGAAGCTTATGACCGGATGTCTGTTATCTTCAACCTTCACGTCTTTTTACATTTGGTTCCCATGGTTTTCCCCTTCCCTGTAGCTCCTCCACCATCCAAAATTTTCCTGCCTCACTCGCTGCTGTAACGGCGGGGCGTCTCTTGGGAATTGTGCGCAACATGCCCGCACCCAGAAGTGTCTAGCGAGAGGTCCGACTTGCCTGCATAAGATGGACGTGGTGGGAGCGGAGCGTCGCAGGGCCACCCCGGCGCAGACGCCCGAGGAGAGGGACGTGTGGAGGGATGGGGGGAGAGCCGGGTGGAGGGATGCAGGAAGGGAGGCGTGGAGGGATGGACGGGAGAGCGGAGTGGTGCACAGCTACAGTTTTGACTCCTACCAGCTGGAAGAGGAGGAAATCGGCAAAGACGTCCCGGAGAGAGGCGTTCTGGCGCTGTCTGAGCCCGGTGAGGCGCTATCTGACTCTGCACACACAAAACGCATTATTTTGAAGTCGGCTAGAGGTCATTGTTCAGTGTACTGCATCCATTTTCTACGGTTTATCTCATCCGAATGATGGGTAATTAAATATTATGGGTCATATTAGTAAAACCGTTTTGAAATGATCTAATTTTGTTCCGAGTACATGAAGCAGGCATCTCAACATGGGTGTGTAGACTTTTTACTTTTTATTAGTCTGTAGTTTTTTTCACTTGACAATGCAACACCTTCACTTTCAGAGAATGATGCCGCATATAAAATGAAATCAATCACATAGATGTCAAACATTTACAGGAGGGGGGTCAATTTGGTGTTGATCCAAATAGGAAAGAAAAAAAAAACACTCATCCACGTGGATCAACCATAAGCATATAAATGATCTAAAAAAAAAACGACATCAGATTTGCTGCTCTCTTGTACGTCTTTCCTTTTAATAACGGTCTCGTGTGCAGGCCCCGGACCGTGATTTGCTATTGTTTTTTTATCGATAACTCTCATCTCCCACCTTCCCGCTCAGACTTTGAGGAGCCGATCCCTGACGACCGTTACCATGGCATCTACTTTGCGATGCTATTGGCTGGAGTCGGGTTCCTGCTGCCTTACAACAGCTTCATCACAGACGTGGACTACCTTCACCACAAGTTCAGCGGTACGAGCACACCATCAATGTGACCGTGATGTAACTTATAAGAACGTCAACGGCAACGATGTTTGACGAACGGCCCGTTCCAGGGACATCCATCGTGTTTGACATGAGTCTAACGTACATCCTGGTGGCGCTTTTGGCCGTCCTCCTCAACAACGTGCTGGTGGAAAGACTCAGTATGCACACCAGAATCACCGTGGGTGAGTCGCACATTAACCTACAGAGAAAGGCCTCGGGTTGGCAAAACATCTCCGTCTGATGACTTGAATCGCATTGAGAAGCCACTCAGAGGTCGTGAAAGTGAAAAAAAAAAAAAAAAAACCTTTCCAGTCGGTTTCCTCTTGCTGCCAGCAATTAGATGAAAGTTTCAAAGTGTTTGTTATCATAAGAGCAGAAGGGAAATATGTTTCTGCAAAGAAATTCTCCAAAGTCCAGATTGAAGTGCGGGGATTCTTGTGTGTGTGTGTGTGTGTGTATCTCCTTTCTTTCTTTGTGCAGGCTACATCTTAGCATTGGGGCCTTTGGTGTTTGTCAGCGTTTTTGACGTCTGGTTGGCAAAGTTCACCAACAGTCAAGCTTATGTCATCAACCTGGTTTCAGTGGGAGTAGTTGCCTTTGGCTGTACAGGTAAGCAAACCAGCTCGCCATCGCTGAATAGAATAGAATAGAACGCCCCTATTTTTCCCCGCCAAAAGGGCAATTCAAGATTTGACAGCAGCATCCAATAAATCAAATCATCTGAAATCCAAACATATCCGTGCACATATATTTACGCCGGGCAGTGGGCTTGTATTTGCTGTGCACGCTTAATACTGTGCAAACAGTTCATGACATATAAAAATGAATGTGAACAGCAGCGAGGATAGTCAGCAGCATTGTATGGACCATAAAAATATTGCATGTAGCAATAAATCATCTTAAAGCAATTGAGAATGAAGTCAAGCACCAACAGTATAAATCCGAGATGCATGTCAACTTTTCTCGGCTATTGTTTTGGGCTGATTCCGAATCTGATCCCTCATATTTAGTCTCGCGCATCAATTTATTTATTTTTTTTAAATAATAATTTGATATTGGTGGTATTAAGAGGAACGAAATGCGTTGCCCACCACTGGCTGACTGTTAAACCACTTCCTCATCCATTTCCAGTGCAACAGTCCAGTTTCTATGGTTACATGGGGATGCTGCCCAAGAGGTACACGCAGGGGGTGATGACTGGAGAGAGTGAGTACCAAAAATATCCACGTGTTCCGTTGACCGCTGTCTTGCACAACGGCCTCCGGCGTCCTCTCTCATGCGTCTGTACATATTGAACCCGCTCGTTCTCTGTCTTCATGCAGGCACCGCCGGGGTCATCATCTCCTTGTCTCGCATCTTCACCAAGCTGCTGATCCCAGACGAGAGGAGGAACACGCTCATCTTCTTCCTCATCTCCATTGGCATGGAAATGCTTTGCTTCCTGCTTCACCTGCTGGTGCGCCGCTCCCGCTTCATCCGCTACTACACCAGCCACGCCCAGGGCAAAGGTCCGGGCAAAGGTCACGACCCCCGCGGCAACTCCACCGGCTACAGGGTTCACCATGACGTCACGGCGGAGGAGGTTAAATTTGTAAGTTGCACCCTGACGTTTGCATTAAGACGGTATTGCATAATTTATTGATGAACCAAAGCACATATACGTTAGGAAAATCTTAAGGCACAGCACCAAACAAAATGGTCAAAAAAAAACAAAACAAACAAGTGATAAGCTTACCTACAGAGCAGAAATGTTGACCATTGTTTTTCCTCGAGATCTGTCCAGGTTTTTCTTTTTATAATTCTGTTTGAGAAGGCCAGACACAAAAGAGAAGAAATGCTACAAGTGATTTATTATTTGAAGCGCGCCTTCTTTGCACTTGTGGACGAGCTGATAATCGAGTGTCACTAGAATCTGCGCGTGCGCGGCCTTGTAAGGACCACGTTTCACCTCAGGCTATCCTCTTTTTATTTAAACATTTGTCCTGTTGCGCGCGAGGGTCTTCCTACTTTTGTTTTAATGCAGTCCTCGCACAACAAGAGTGTGTGTGTGTGTGTGTTTTGCCTTTGCATCTGGGGGATGATTCAGGGGGTCCTTTGTGTCGGTTGCCAGGGGAAACCAAAGGCAGTGCTCCACATTACGACTATAATCAGGAAGAGTGGTTCCTTCTGGCTCCTGAGACCTTTTCATTAACGAATGGATTAGTGCGCGCGCGCATGTGCGCTTGCGTGTGTGCGCTTGCGTGTGTGCGCTTGCGTGTGTTGACATCAAGCTGCAGTTGCTCACAGTGATTCGCTAACGGCTGGAGCCATCAGAAGCTGAAGTCATACAGCCAATATGCTGTCGCTTTAATGAAGGCGGTAGTGGTGGTGGTGGTGGTGGTGGGGGGGGGGGGGATAGCCACTTGTAATAATATATTCATGAACTGTGAGATATGGTTCCTCGAGTGTTGTGTCATTAAATCGTGTCCTTCAACCATGACAAAACATTGGGCCTCATTCACCGTCAGCTCTTAAAAAAAAGTGTGAAATCATACTTGTGCTTTATTTTGGCGATAAAAAGAAAACAAACCAAAAAAAAAAAAAAGTGGTACATTCTTTTCATGGCATCGTGACTCGCTGGAGCTTCGCAATTTTCATGCGCCCAAATGCGTGTATATATATTTTTTTCTCAAGCATGTTGTGTGAAAGGAAAGAAGACATAGAAGCGCGCTGATGAATGTTTTTCGTCCGATATTTGACGCGACCATGACGGTGATTTTGTTTCCTCCTCAGGGGAATGGCGCAATGGGGCCACCCACAACAGAAGAGGGCATTGAGGAATATGTGGGTGGGACATATGTGCGATTTGACGCCCCAAAAATCAAGTTCAGAAGAACCTGGCCTAGTGTTCGAGGTATAGCCAATGATTTCACACAAATGCCCTCTTGTATGCTCAACTCATCCCGTATTTGACATTTATTCCTGTTTATGTGCGTCCTCTCGATACAGACCTGATTTTGCATCGTTACGTGGTGTCCCGTGTCATCTGGGCCTACATGGTGTCCATAGCGGTGACCTACAGCATCACTCTGTGCCTGTTCCCCGGCTTGGAGTCCGAGATGAGGAACCCCACCTTAGGGGAGTGGCTGCCCATCCTCATCATGGCCACCTTCAACATGTCCGACTTTGTAGGAAAGGTGAGGAGCATCTGATGAGCATTGCGCGTTTCCTCAAAACAATCTAGAAAGAAGCATTGTAAGCATCAACGTGTGTTCAGATTCTGGCGGCGCTGCCCTACGACTGGTCTGGAGGCCGCCTGCTCTTCTTCTCCTGCTTGAGAGTTGTCTTCATACCTCTCTTCATCATGTGTGTGTACCCGGCGCACGCGCCCACCCTGGCCCACCCTGCCTGGCCGTGTCTCTTCTCCCTGCTCATGGGCGTTACCAACGGGTACTTTGGCTCCGTGCCAATGATTCAGGCCGCTGGCAAAGTGGCGCCGGAGCAGAGGGAGCTTGCAGGTAAGACGGCGTCATATCTCATTTAGACGAGGTCAAGGCTTGTTTGAATGAGGGCAGCACAGTGAACGAGTGCCCCCCCCCCTTAAAAAAAACCACTCCCGCGCAGTATAGAGAGGGGGTGGGGGGAGTCGAGTGGTTAACATGTCGACCTCACAGTGCAGAGGTACCGGGTTTGATCCCACCTCCCCGTGTGGAGTTTCCATGTTCTCCCCGTGCCTGCGCGGGTTTTCTCCGGGTATTCCGTTTTCCTCCCACATTCCAAAAAACATGCATGGCAGGTGAATGAAACACTCTAAATTGTCCCTTGGGTGTGAGTGTGAGCGCGGATGTTTGTTCATCTCTGTGTGCCCTGTGATTGGCTGGCAACCGGTTCAGGGTGTCCCCCGCCTACCCCCCGAAGAGTCCAGCAAGCCCCGCGACCCTTGTGAGGATAAAGCGGATCCGAAAATGGATGAATGAAAAGAGAGAGAGAGAGACCTGAAAAATCCACCACAGACCCATAACGAAGCATTTCTTTGTGCAGGTAACGTGATGACTGTCTCCTACATGACAGGCTTGATGGTGGGCTCTGTTGTGGCGTACGCCGCTTACAGCTTCACAGCTCGTCCAACAACAGGCTTCTCCGCCCTCAACGTACACGCAAACATGACTGCTTTTTGAATGTCCTCACATGGTCGCATAGAAGTTTATACACTAGCAGCAGGAGAGGGTGACGGTCTCCCCTATGAAGGAAACAATGTAGCATTACATATCTTCCTATTTTCCAGCCAGGATGAGAGTGAAGATTTCGTGGATGTGGATGAACTTTTTTCCCGGAGTTTTTTTTGGGAGTGTTTCACTGTGAAATGAGTTTTAGGCATACTGGTGTGGTTTCATTTACGACGTGGTCTCTTTTTGTAGACTTCAGCTGGAGATAGTGACAACCCATGGTCCTGAAATAATAAAGGTCCTTCATGGAGAAAAGTGGCAGACAAAATAGATAAATGGATGGATTAACGTTGACCACGTCAGTTCTTCATAAAGTGGTATTGCTAACCCGTGACCGACAGCTTCTGCACAGTGTTCTTTGTGTTGTCTCTTGTGAGGTTTGTTTTTTTTTTGTTTTGTCAGCCAATATGCTTTCCATGTGAGTGGAACCTCCAAAATCGAACAGACCAAATAGTACAATTTGGAGGTCAACCAAACAGTTGTGGTTCTAGATTTATGGTGGCAACAGTTTGAGACCAGAAGAAATGAGCTCACAATATGGTGGCAAGATTGTTTCGATCTCAATCAGCACCACAGAACATTTGTGTTCGACTTTGGAGGATCTGCTGGATCGGTGTTGCATTTTGAGGGGTCAAAACATCGAGTGCCAAATATATCTACCTTTTCCGAAATAATGTTATTGAGAAAAGAGTGAATGTAAAATCAACAAGCGTCACTGTCTGAACCTTGTAAATATATTTAGGAATAACGTTTAAAAGAGCAAAGAGATGTGATTTGCCAGGGCTAATGATATTTTTGTGAGTTTATTTCTGTATTATAAAAAGATGCAGAACTTTTCTCGTGTTTCTTGTCGCTTATTGTATTTTATATAGAGCAAATCTTGTGGAGCAGTGGGACAAAAACGGAGTTGAGAGGTTCAAAACCTGTTGACCTTGTTTTGTCCCAAATCTGAGCAATGGAATTACCAAACCATGGCACAATTCTTCGTGTTGGGGCTTTAAATGGCCTCTTGGAATGATACTACCCACTCATATCATTTTTGAAACGTTTACAAAATTGCTTTAATTCTCTGTCGTAACCGCTCCGAACCCCTTTCCCCAGATCCCATGCAAATGTGCCTCCTAGTGGTCGTAAACAGTATTTCTATGACGTCATAGAAATCTGAACGGACGTTAAAGCGTTGACGGCTGATTTTGACATTGATGTCATGACAGTATGGCACACGAAAAAATGCGGACTCAAATAAACGGGACAGTCACATCATACGTCATTTGTAGATGCATAATGAAGCTCTGACTCATATCAATTGAATTTTAAATATAATCTTTATGTCGTTTTATTTCGGCGGATTTATGGAGCCCACGCAGACAACGTTATGTTCTAAACGTAGTATAATGAGAATGAAAGGGGACCCAAACAATGTGACATACTTAAAGGCAGACGATCACGACGTTTTGTAGACTGAATGAAACACTCTCTCGCAGGTGACGCGTTTCGGCCTGCAGGGGGCAGCATCGGGCTGACGAAGATGACTTTCAAGCGTTTCCATGGTGATGCACGTCGACATCATTGACAAAGGTTATCAGGGTGCTCGGTTACATACCGCTTAAGCGGTAGGTTAGCGATAGATGATTTGTTTCAAAACTTTGTCGACAGAACAGAATCTATTTCTGACAGGCAGAACAATTCAATCCTCTGCCACTGGAAGGTACAATAACGTGAGTATTCACCTTTCTAAACTAAAGAGGCGTATGTTTAACACTGAGAAAACCGAAAACCAACCCCAACCAACATAAAACAAAGGCCAGGCCGGATGATACATTCGCTGAAAGTGAGAGCAATTCTTAAATAAGAATCAAGATAAACAGTACATAAGCAGCACTTCAAATGCATGCTATTAGCAGATAGAACAATCCAGAATGAAGTTTCAGCTAGAAGCGCAAATGCCAAAACTGCAGTCAAAAGAAACAGAAGGACACTCAGGTGAAAAGGACTAGCCAAAGAATTAAGCATGACACTCAGGAAATGGGCTGTGGACTTGGGATATGGAGCACAGGCATGGAGGCAAAGGAAGAAAGAAGACATGATTGATGCACTGGAGATATGGAGGATTTTAAATGTGACATGGGAGATGAGAACAAATGAAAGTGTACTCCAGGAAATTGGAGTGGAATGAGAACTGCTAAAATCATTGAAGGCTTGGCAGAAAAAGTGGCTGAGACATATTATTTATTACGGGGGAGAGTTTATATTGTACCGGTAGTGAAGAAAAACTAGAAGAGAAACGATGAAGAGCAACTCCCAACGGATGCCCCCCCCCCCCCAAAAAAAAAAATGAAAAGGATGTCGGAAGACTGACGTGGATTGACGATGTATAACCCTGGAGTGATGTGTCGCTAGCGAACGAGCCGGTACAAAGAGCCGGCTCTTTGAAGTAAATGATGAGAGCCGACTTTGTCATTTTCCTTCTCTCTCTCTCTCTCCTCTCTCTCTCTCTCTCTCTCTCTCTCTCTCTCTCTCTCTCTCTCACAAAGTCGAAGGTTTGTCATTCCTACTGGTCACCAGTCGACGGCGCCGTTAAGTTCCGTAAAGACCTTGTCAAAACCGTCGACGACGGGCGCGAACCTCTTGCGAGTTTGCGGTCGAATTTTACAATGATTCTTATTGCTGTTAGCTGACATTGGAAAGCGAAATCGGGTTTATTGTTTCCCCTTTGCTAATGGCGGGCCCTCTGCTGGAGTGTGAGACCGAAATGTTTCTGATATGTTGATCGATATACAGTGAATACTTTGAATGGGAAAAGTTATCAGGGCCCTCAGAAAGTCATCCGATGTTTCCTCACCAATCTGAAACGAAGTTTGATTTCACCGCGATCCTTTGGGTTTTGCAGGTTCTTCAGCCCCCAGCCCCGTTGGGACCAGCAGAGAGCACCCTGAAAGCATCCAGACCAGACTACCGTCTCAACTATTTCAGCGGAGTTGCCCTGATCAACAAAGTATCTTGAAACAATGAATAAAGTTGGCTTGCACGTTTTGATAGTGTGCGTAATGGGTGTTTTATTTGCACTTTATTCACGATCGCCAAGAAAAGGGGTGTCAAACATACGGCCGGAACCGGCCCGCAAGGTGGTTTATGCCTTTGTACAGTCAGTGGGATCAGTTGCAATGCAGATACAGTCAAACCTCGGTTTTCATCCATACTGCGTTTTTACCCCAAAAAAACCGACGATGTATAGTCAGGCGTTTTTATCCGAAAAAAACGACCATGTATAGGATGGCGTTTTTGGATGAAAAAAACGACCATGTATAGGATGGCGTTTTTGGATGAAAAAAACGACCATGTATAGGATGGCGTTTTTGGATGAAAAAAACGACCATGTATAGGATGGCGTTTTTGGATGAAAAAAACGACCATGTATAGGATGGCGTTTTTGGATGAAAAAAACGACCATGTATAGGATGGCGTTTTTGGATGAAAAAAACGACCATGTATAGGATGGCGTTTTTGGATGAAAAAAACGACCATGTATAGGATGGCGTTTTTGGATGAAAAAAACGACCATGTATAGGATGGCGTTTTTGGATGAAAAAAACGACCATGTATAGGATGGCGTTTTTGGATGAAAAAAACGACCATGTATAGGATGGCGTTTTTGGATGAAAAAAACGACCATGTATAGGATGGCGTTTTTGGATGAAAAAAACGACCATGTATAGGATGGCGTTTTTGGATGAAAAAAACGACCATGTATAGGATGGCGTTTTTGGATGAAAAAAACGACCATGTATAGGATGGCGTTTTTGGATGAAAAAAACGACCATGTATAGGATGGCGTTTTTGGATGAAAAAAACGACCATGTATAGGATGGCGTTTTTGGATGAAAAAAACGACCATGTATAGGATGGCGTTTTTGGATGAAAAAAACGACCATGTATAGGATGGCGTTTTTGGATGAAAAAAACGACCATGTATAGGATGGCGTTTTTGGATGAAAAAAACGACCATGTATAGGATGGCGTTTTTGGATGAAAAAAACGACCATGTATAGGATGGCGTTTTTGGATGAAAAAAACGACCATGTATAGGATGGCGTTTTTGGATGAAAAAAACGACCATGTATAGGATGGCGTTTTTGGATGAAAAAAACGACCATGTATAGGATGGCGTTTTTGGATGAAAAAAACGACCATGTATAGGATGGCGTTTTTGGATGAAAAAAACGACCATGTATAGGATGGCGTTTTTGGATGAAAAAAACGACCATGTATAGGATGGCGTTTTTGGATGAAAAAAACGACCATGTATAGGATGGCGTTTTTGGATGAAAAAAACGACCATGTATAGGATGGCGTTTTTGGATGAAAAAAACGACCATGTATAGGATGGCGTTTTTGGATGAAAAAAACGACCATGTATAGGATGGCGTTTTTGGATGAAAAAAACGACCATGTATAGGATGGCGTTTTTGGATGAAAAAAACGACCATGTATAGGATGGCGTTTTTGGATGAAAAAAACGACCATGTATAGGATGGCGTTTTTGGATGAAAAAAACGACCATGTATAGGATGGCGTTTTTGGATGAAAAAAACGACCATGTATAGGATGGCGTTTTTGGATGAAAAAAACGACCATGTATAGGATGGCGTTTTTGGATGAAAAAAACGACCATGTATAGGATGGCGTTTTTGGATGAAAAAAACGACCATGTATAGGATGGCGTTTTTGGATGAAAAAAACGACCATGTATAGGATGGCGTTTTTGGATGAAAAAAACGACCATGTATAGGATGGCGTTTTTGGATGAAAAAAACGACCATGTATAGGATGGCGTTTTTGGATGAAAAAAACGACCATGTATAGGATGGCGTTTTTGGATGAAAAAAACGACAATGTATAGTAAGGCGTTTATTGCTGAAAACGACCATGTATAGTAAGGCGTTTTTGGATGA